GTCTATTTAAAGACTGCCACTTTGTCAGTAATCCATCCCACTACACTCTATAAATGTTATTTTAGCAACATTTATTTTAATAAGCCGAGGACAATCAATTGGCCAGTTATTTGGATGTCTTGACTGGCTGTGATTGCTGATTGGTCAAATATCACAGAATTCTGAAATGTTAATTTCCTGTTTGATTGAAAACTGCAACTTCCGCTTGGGAACATTTCATTCGGTTCTTTGTGTTAAACGAAAATAAAATCTTCACAATTGAATTGGTCAAATTAGATTTGTTTGAGATCAGCAGGTCAGACATTGCTGATCTTAAGCAAGGTGTGACCCAGGACTGATCTTCCTATATCTTTTTCTTTTCCTTTATCAATCAGTTTTTCTTGACAGTTTGTGTCCAAAACACTCTCCCGGTGTGTCATGTATTTTATATTCATTTTTTTTGTCTGTCTCTGTTTCTTTTGTTTCTTATTTATTCTTTCCCTTTCCATCTTTCTTGTTTTTTTCTTTCTCTCTTTTGTCAGTCACTACTGGCTCCATCTACCCTCACTACCTACACGTAACAATAGTATTGTGAAACTCCTGAAACTGTGCTATGCCGCTTGTGTTTGTGTTTTCCTCAGGGTTATTGGTGACCCTCATTTGACCTCCCCTATGATAATTTTCTGACAGTGCCCTTGGGCCACTCATTTCTAGCAACCCAGAAATTCATGACGAAGGCATAATAAAACCTCCAAAATTCTGCTGTGGCTTTTGATTTCATTTTGAACTCACCCACCCTTCAATATTTTCAATAGTCCCCTTCTGACCATGCATTACAAAATTTTCTGGAGGTCGCCCCAATTGCTGATTCCCTCTTCTCTCTGTCCAGAGGCCAAGTCATGTGAGGACATCCAGTGCAGTGCAGGGAAGAAGTGTCTGTGGGACGCTCGGATGAGCCGGGGCCGCTGCTCGCTCTGCAACGAGTCCTGTCCGGAGAGCAGAACGGACGAGTCGGTGTGCGCCAGCGACAACACCACATATCCCAGCGAATGTGCCATGAAGCAGGCTGCTTGTTCTATGGGGGTGTTGCTGGAAGTCAAGCACACAGGATCTTGCAACTGTAAGTAAGAAAACAAAAAAGTGAAATATGAAACAAGAGAAATAAAACTCCTCCTCCCCCATCCCCATCCAAGCAAGAGACAATGTTTCCTGTGTTTTTCCAAAACAAATACCCTCTCCTGAAAGTGTCCCTTCATCCCAACTCTTCCCATGTTTCCCTCACCAGCTACATCACTCCAGCTATAGGAAGCGGAAAGGACTTGGAAATGGAAGGAACTTGCATGACTTTTGTCTTTGTCGCCGATTTTTTTGTTCTTGTGTTCTTGATTTTTTTTTTCTCTCACGTTTTTTAAGTATTTTTTTTGGAAGGCAAGTTAAGAGAAAAGTGACTGAACGATTTAATCCTATGTAAGTTGTCGGTAAAAGCCTGGGAGGAAAGATAATCTTATTGAATAAGCTCAAACACTAGAAGAGACCTAGTTTGCTTGCTGTGGCGCAACCCTAGAGCTGGCCCAAGGCGTAAGGGAACTGAGTTGCTGCTGAGGACATCCAGGCCAGCAGGAGGCCCTCAAGAGAGTCTCAGTTTGCTTCGATGTTTGAACTTTGGATCTGGGACTGAAATAACGCCCACTTTAACTATGTTCCAGCTGCAAGTTTGAAAACCAGTTAAAGTTTCTAGCTGTTGTATTAAGAGGGTAACAAAGAGAAACAGAAGGAAGAGCAAAACGCCGCCCAGTTTAATGTTGTAAAATGCTGTAACTTCATTCACTTTTAACCTTAATGATGATGTCATTTGAAAAACCATTACATGCGCTTTCAAATGCATTTGTTTTGACATATAATATATTGCATAAATATACCTCATATCTGAGGTGACATGTCGGTCAGTGGGTAATGGTCTTAGCTGTAGGTGGGCTCCCAAATCACATTCTGCTTTGGGCTCCTAAAACCTTTGGCCAGCTCTGGAATATCCTGAAACTTAAACCTAGTTAGAGTCGTAGTCATGCTAGTCGCCTGCAGAAGCAGGAAGCCTTAAATTTCATGCAGTATCTCATCTTAGAGATCACATTACTACAGCTTGTAAATTCCACGCTCGCACTGCTTGATTCTTAGAAACCTTCTTTCTTTATGATGTTTTTCTTTGTATTGCTTTTGGCTGTAATTGATCAAACACCCTAGAAATATTAGCTCACAACAAGCGAAAGGTGATTGTAACGTTGGTGTCGCATAAAAAAGAATCTTAAAAGAAGACCATTTGGACTCTCAGAAACCCGAAATATCTAACGTACATTCCAGTTTCCGAATATCTGGGAATGTCTTTTTTTTCTTCTTAGTTTCTTTCACCTGAAAAAAATCTCTTAAGTCGTATTTAAAGTATGTATTGGACTGGTGACCAACTTTATGATCACCTTGTGAGCTAATTACAAATGTAATTTGTTACTGTAAGCAGGAGAAGCTGTTTGTTTTTAGCTGGCTTTTACTGTCTGCACTGTTGTGAAAAATGTATCAGATATTTTACATCCACTTTAAGATAATGAGGGACCCTTCTTTTATTTTGTATTGTCGTTCTTGCGCTTGCTTGCGTGCTTTTCTTCTTTCTTTTTTTTTTTTTTTCAAAAATGTAAATCTATGTATAAAAGCAGAAGAAAATACCTCAGAACTGTGTTGATTACATTTAATGCATTGGCCACGGCCCTGGACGTTTGCACCCTGACCTTCCATCTTAATCAGAAAAAAAGCAAAGCGAATTGGAGAGCAGAAGAACACTTTTTTTTTTTTTTTTTTTTTTTTTGGTGTTATATGTGTTTTTGCTTTTCAGGATTCTGCCAAAAACAGAACAGAGCTACTGGAACATCAGCCCCAGTGTCCTTATATCTGTATATCCCTCCTTGTGATTCCCCTTTCAACCTTTTTTACCCCGTTCTGTGGCACTGACGTGCTTGATTATATAAATGGACATTGTATAATTGGTGATTCTTGCAGCCAAGTAACACAGACTCTTTTTCATAAAAGTGACCATTTAAGCAACAACTAACAAACATAAAAAGAAAGTGTAAGATGTTTTGTTGTGAACTTTTTTGACATTCACTGATATATTCTGCGCTGTTGTGGTCCGTATTCATACAACAGCTACCATGTATTCTCCCATTTAGCCATTACAGAAGACCAGGAGGAGGATGAGGAAGATGGGGACTCAGACTACAAGGCCTATGTCCATTTATCTTCTCTACTGGATGGATGAGCTCCCATCAGTATAGAGGGGGGAACTTTTCTTAGGACAAGGAATCATGTCCATACTGTACATTATGTGTATGCTTATTTATTTTTTAATGAAAAAAGGAAGTATACATATAGTTCAGTCTGCTAGATGTTTATTTATACTGTTTTTGTGTTTTATAATTTATACATTTACATTGTCCGGCTTTCATTTATCACCATATATTCTTACCCGTTTTTGTTGTTGTTATTTTACTTCCTTTTTTACCATGAAGAATTATATCTGTCCAAAGAAAAACAGTGTTATTTATTTGTCATTTTACCATGTAAGTATAAGTCATCTTCAAGCTGTAAATTGCATTCCCTGAGCTGTAAAAAACCTGCTTGTTTCTGTCAAATCTCTATCACAGATGTTTATGTCACACATACGTAAATGCATGTTTAGGCTGTGTGTTTATTTATTGGGTATATATATCAATAATTTTATGTACATACATTTTTTTTGTTTGTTTACAGCTATCATAACTGACCAAAGGGGTTCTCTCACTGGTTTGAGCATTGCAAATGGTGCAGGAATGAAATGGAAAAGAAAAAAAGAGAGCCAATTGTGTTTCTTTTCTCATATTTAGAATATTTTCATTGTGGTTGCAGTCCTTTAGATTTCTTTTTTGACCTGAAAATGATTCCACAGCATTTATGTAATCTCACAACATTGAAGCATAGTCAAATTTTGGACAATACTTGATCGTTTTGGAAACAATGTGCCATTAACATTTGTGAACTGTCTTCTTGCCAACGTGCTCCGTATTGCTCTCACAGAGTGACAGTAGGATTACTTCTCTGCAGTATTCTACTCTGTACCAGACTCCTTTACCTTGTTTTTTTTTTTTTCCGTTTTTCCCCTCTGACTGCATTTTTTTTATTTTCAAACATCACTAGAGAAATACAAAATTCTGTTATGAATATATAGTTTTGTATTTTTATGTAAATGTCATATGTACATACAAAGTTTGATGGTATTTGTACAGATATGAGGAGTGAAACAATAAAATCTTTTCCTTATAACTTTTTCTGAGTTTGTTTCATTTTTCTATATAACCAACAAGTAAAAGTTTAACTTCTAGAAGGTTAACTTAAATATTTTTGTTAGAATTTGGATAATGATATGAAAGGAATACTTCTTGCGCCGTTTTTTATTTGACAAATTTTAAATTTCCAAATTGATTAAAAAAAAAAAAAAAAAAACCTTTCATTGTTTTTCATAATAAAACACAATTACAAAACAATATGAATCTTTTTTACAGGCCATTATTAAACTATAATTATAGACATAAGTATTTCTTATCAAAGATATTGTTTTTCATGTTTTAACAGTCATATCTGCAGTGTTAACAAATTAATTAAAAAATAGCTTTGTGTGTTGGTAAGAAATATATTTAGTAATGTCACCTTGTTTTTACAGTAGAATCACTTCCTATTTTTCTAAATGTGTCATTCATATAAAGGTAATCTGGAATGACACAGGTATTGAAATTATTGAAATTAAATGATAACATTATTATTATTATTATTATTATTATTATTATTATTATTATTATTATTATTATTAACCGATATTCAATCAACTATCTTCAAAGAACTATCTTTACTATCTTTCAAAAAGGTTACATTTATGTAAATTTACCCATACGTATTATTTTTCTGTAATTTTTTAATATTGTTCTTTCGTTCTACTTGTTCCATCGCGGCTACCGTACCTAATGGTTAACAACAAACATGGCGTCCTCAATGTCACTTCTCGGTTTAGGTCGTTTGTCTCTCAGCAATGTAGCTTCCAGGATCCTACTGAATCCAGCCAGGTAATTTAATATTGATTATCATATGATTTTATATCCGTGTGTCTTACTATTTTTGGGATTATTCGTGGAATTTTCAGCTCAGATGTGGAGAAACCTCCCAGGCCGATCAATCTAGTCTGCCCCAAGCTAAAATAAAACCCTGGAAACTAATCATTTATAAAAAACAGAAATGAAAAAAAATTATATCTTTTGGGGGCTAGTTATATGTCAGAATATTTTATCGACTTCTTTTCGTCTTTCCTAGTGTATCAGATAAATGTCAATGTCCTTTCGCAAACGCTGCGAGGTAGCTAATTAGCTGAAGCTAAGCTACAAATCAGTTTAGGAGCAAACGCAATTAAACACTCTTTGCTGCTGCGTACATCAAAATACCATCCGTAATGATCGGCGCGACATTGTGAACTTTTCTTTAATGAGGCGCGTTATGGGACAGAGTGAAGTTTTATAGCAAAGTTCAGCATAACATTCAACCTTACAGTCAAGTAAGGTAGTAAGTTGAAGCGGCACTGAACGTGTCATCGGACATAATCTTCAATATTTATCTGCCTCATCACATTAGATCCTGTTGTAACAAGCTGTATATATGCTATGGTCATTTGTTTTGCTAAAAATGGCCTTCACCAGTATTCATACTATTGTATATCAATTTTAGGAACCCAAGTACTTGACAAGTACTTAACCACTGAAAAATTTGCTTTAACTCCTTTAGTGTAAAGCATGTCGGTCTAGTCTGAGTTTGCGCAGTTTGGCACAATGTTCTTTCACTGTAATATTATGAATGTTTCTTAAATAATCAAACATGATTTTGTCTCAAGAAAAATAATTATCTCATGAGCAGTAACATTTATGTTGTTTGTCAGAGGCGTTAAGGTGAACAGGCTGTGAGCTGGTTTGATTTTTGACTAATGCTGAGAGACATACTATGATCTCTCTAAAAAGAAATGTGTTAGCTTGCTTGGCTTAAGTTATCTTTTACAAAGTAGATGTAAATAGTCTACTACCCCTATTTTTTAACACTTTGTGATGGAAAAATAATTAAATAATGTCACATTTTACCATGAATATGACATATAACTTATAAAACTGATGTGGTTGCGTAGATTTTTATGCAACCACATAAAACTGAGAATAAAACATAGAACTATGTTTTGTTGAAACAGTTTTTGATTTTATTTTACAGCACTTTACAGTCTTTTTGGTAGAAGTATACCTTCATGACACATTTTCACTAGGCTGCGATTTTTTATTTTCATTTTTTATTTTTTTTGCAAAAATCCTCCTAATCTGTCAGATTGTGAGGGCATATCTGTTGCACAGCTATCTTCAAATTACTCTGGTCAGACTTTGGCTGGACCATTCCAAAACTTTAATTTTCTTCTGTTGAAGACAGCTTGTTGTTGATATTTATTTATTTTTGGTTATTGTGCTTTTTCTGTCAACATTAACTAGTATTTGGAATTGTTTTTAATCCCACCACATGAGTTATGTAATGATGTATAAGCTATCATGGCCAGGCTGCAGTCGGCTGCTAACAGACATGCAGTTCACAGCGATTTTAATTTCAAAATAGTGCTTCCTTAAGTAGATGGAAGGTGGTGCTTCTTTAGCTCCTTTAATATCTGTGTTGTTTGTGACCGAAATCTTTCAAACATACAAGTGTGCCGGTCTTGCAAGTGAAGGAAAAGTGTAAATAAGCTTCCTTCAGACAGCTGATTGGCAGTGTGCAGCAACTAGTGGAGGGAAGAGAGGTTCTCACAGGACCTTGTGCTCATTGCTGTTTACAGCTGGAAAACAAAAACAAAAAAAAACAACTGATCTCCAAACTTCTTTTTTGTTTCCTCATAAGAGATGTTAAACTTTAGGACAATTTTGTTCATAATTAATTTTTTTTGTTGTTGTTTCTATTGTTTTGTTAATTTTGGATATTTAAAATCTCTTCCAGTTCCAGTGTTAAATTTCTATAAGAATTAAAATTGCATTGATCTTTGACAACGCTTTTTTGCAATATTACCTTATCATTACCACTGTATTACTTGAAAATGGTCTCAGAACAACAACATTGCAATATATCACAATAACGTCTGGGATAATTTATCATCCAGCAAAATTAGTTACCATGAAAGGCCAAACAGAAAAAAAAGAGAAAATCCAAGACGTGCCCCCTCTAAGCTTTCTGATTAATTAATGTGACAATGTGCAGCGGCTTTGCTGTGGTACAGATTGGTTTATTGGTTTAGTTTGATGCAGTTCAGGTAAAAATCTGCAGTTACCGGCCAAACAATCAACGCATTTCATCAAGCACAGCACAGCTTTTCCGTTCTCTTTTGTGAAAACTAAAGTTACGCTTTTGTAGCCAATATTCCGACAAATTGTCTCGGTCATATTTTGATAATTAGGACATTATGCTGAGTGAGCCCTTCCTTGGCTGAGTGGCGATGGATCTGCGCCGCTCAGTGTCAGGATACGGCTGCACTTTCACAAAGAGCTCCACAGTCCCCGCCTGCCAGTCACCCAGCAGCCAACAGTAAGCACGTCCCGTCATTAGGATGAGAGCGAGGCTCTGCCAGAGATTCACCAGACAGAACTAATAGGTGGCGGGGGGGATTCCTTCCTAGCCGCTTCCTTTTCACTGTACCCTCACCCCACCGCGTCCTCCAAGACTGTCGGTGGCTGCAGAATGCCACTGGTTTGTGTAATTTCCTGCTTTGTAGTGGGCCGTTGAGTGTAATGTCCATTCATTGATTTTTCAGGTCTGCAAGCACATCAGCATCAAGGCTGGCAGAGAAAGCAGAACAAGACACGCAACTTATTACCGTTGATGAGAAATTGGTAAGAATCCCTGCTTTTCAACGTGACACATAGCTGCTTTTTTTTCTTTTTCTTTTTTTTTTTGTCTGATCTGCCGTCTACCAATTATTTTCTTGGTAAACAGTTGGAAACTCTTAATCAGCTTCAACAGGACAGTAGGCTTTTGCAACAATTTAATGGCAGGTTTCGTCATTAGTGTGCATGCTCAACGCTCACATTAATCCTTTTGGCACAGCCGTCCTTGTTATTACAACTACTGAATAGCTTACTGAGTGGAATTTGGGCAGCAATTTGGCAGAATTGCTGCGAGTAATGCTCAAATCTAGTGTCGCGTATAACGGAAAAAATATAGTTTGTAGAGCAACAAAATAACTACAGATGATTCATTTCTTGACCCTTATGGTGTTTTCTTTGTTATTCAAATATAAGTTGATATTGTACAGTTTTGTGGCTGTCCAACATTACATAAACCAATACGGTTTCATGTTATATTGAGCACAGAGTGAGGGAAATGTAACATTGGTTCATCGCATCCAGTAGCAGCTCTTTCCTGGCTCTACTGTTCCTTACCCCAGGTTATTAATGACTAAATATTGGCTGTGATCATCAACAGTGTCACTCGATGTCTGAAATTAACTTTTTCTTTTACAGGTCAAGCAGGGTGTTAGATGAATATCAAATAGGCCAACAAATAAATTGTCTGTTTGAGCCTCACGTTTTGCATTCAGCAGATTCTCACAAACAAACTAAGAGGCCAGAGTCGAATCCGGTGGAGAAATTCTGGTCCACAACTCTAAATGCAAAGAGTTTGATAAATACTGCTGTGTATTTTTGTTGTTGTTTATTCATATATGAAATATTTTGATCGTCACTCTTCTGCCATGTTTATGATTAGGTTGTTTTTTTTTTTTTTGTTTTTTTTGCGTCACCTACAATTTTTTGCCTCCTTACTGATTTCCTCTGGGTTTTTTAACTCACTAAATATTTCAGATAATCAACCAAATTTGAATATGTGACAAACATAACTCGATTACATACAAAATGCATATTTAAATAATAGTTATATTTATGAAACTCATGAAAACCAACCTCATGGAATCGTGAATTAACTGCTGCAGTGTTTTTTTTTTGTTTTTTTTCCCCCACTAATCAGGCCACAAATGAGCAGCCTGTGAGCCTGTAAGCAGTTTATGTGAGATTTCATAGCTCATCTTTTAGATGGAAAAGATCGGTGAAGCACCATCGGACTGTGATGGCTTAAGATAACTGAAATTTACTTGAAATGTGCAGAATTGGAGCTAGAATTAAGATAAATTGACATTTACGAAAATTAAATCGAAATGATCCTTGTGGAAGAAAAAAATTTTCCTGTTAAAATAGTTTACTGATCTGATACCTACCAAGCAAGCCTAATTGTGGCCTTTATTGACTTAGTGATGTTGACCCGGGAAAGACACGCTTTTACTTTACTGCACTACGATTCTATGCACAGCAGATTGAAAAGAAAGCTTGATTTGATTTGATTTAATGTCATTTAGATTTTAAAAATTCAATCTGTGGACAGAGGAAACCAGGGTCAGTAGGGAGTCATCGTAGTTCCACATGTAACTTGCAAGTCTTCCATGCAAACTTGTAAATATTTAAATTAGTAAATTAGTATTTGACCTCGGTTTGGCATTTGACTTCTGAGACATTTGTTCTCTCGCCGACTGATAAATGGAAACAGAGATTTACCTTCTGTTAAATTTCCTGCTCGGTAACCAAAGAGGTGACCAATCCATGGCACACAGAGTCTTCTAGGGGATAGATGTAAGTTAGGATTTTATAGCCTGTGCTGTGAGTTTGGATCTGTAATTTTGCTTAGATAAAATAAATTAGCACAACACGCCATTTGTGGCTCTCAAAATGACTTTATATGGCATGTGTCTTTGACCAGTTCAAGAACAGTGCACAGACACTATTTATTTTTTACGTTTAGGGAAAGATTTTTACACAAAAATTAAAATATTCACTATAAAAGTATCCATCCTTTACATCCAATGTTTTGCTTTTGTTTTGATTCATAGTAAATGTGACCACAAACATCTGGTGACTTTACTCAAAACAGATTTTACTCATAGTGTTCAGGAAAGAAACAGGCGGCTCACAGCTTTACACAATTTTTAATTAAAACATGAACTCACCTCTGCATGTTTTATGTTTTGGGTTCTTTTCTCATCGGCACATTTGGATCTAATGTTGGTTGAAAAAGAAAAAAAAAAAAGAACAATACAAGACGGATAAAAACATGCAGTTTTCTGACCTGAACACAAAATGAATCGATGTTTGAAGTGGCCAAAGTTAGTGCTGCACCAGCCGCTTAAAACAAAGCATTTGAAGTTTGTGGTGTCTTAGTGAAACATCAAGGACATAGAAAATAAGTGCAAACAAAATTGATTTTAGGAGGAATGAGGGAGTCTGTTTTGGACTTTTTTTTTTTTTTTTAAATGGCCAGGGGGCGGTGTGAGCAGCATCGGTGTGCTTTTGTCTCAAAGCAAAGCTGGCCATACTGGCAGACAAACCTTTGGCTAGGCGGAGTGTCTGTCTCTGTCCTCTCAGTAGGGGCCGCCGAGAGGACCAGCAGAGACGAGAAAAAAGGGCCTCCAAAACACAGTGAGGGATTTTAAAGAAAAGGAGTTTGCACAGAAAGAAAAAAAAAAAGTTTGTGAGACTCAATTGGGGGAGAAAAAAAAAAGAAAAAAAAAAAGACAGTGGCCACCTCAGTGTTGTTGCTCACAGAGCTTCCTTTGTGGCGTGTTGTTGCTGGCGACGGCGGGAAGTACTCTAATGCTCACCCAGACGGGCCAAAAAGAGAGGGCCTCAGCTGTTTACAGTGCAGTGGTCTCAGTCTCACATGGAAGAGGGCAGCAAGAGTGCTCTTCCTGCCGGGCATTTGGGAGCACGTCGGCACTCTAGCCGGCCGTCAGCCCGTCGATAAGTGGAAATTGCTTTCTGTGGAGACCAATCGGCAAAAAGATCTCGATCTTTTGAGAGGTTATGTCGGGTGAGGGCGCTCCCTCTCTTTGCCAGCCAGAGGAGGTCGTGGCATTCTGCTTATTTCATTTAGATGAGGCTGCAGTTTTTGAGCAGGGCAAGTGATGTTTTGAATTCGCTCCAGGAACCGTCTGACTGTTTCTGTCTGTGATACTCGCTTATCTTGTCCTTTGTTCTCATCTGTCCAAGAAAATGCAACCCCTTACAGGAACTCGCATCTCCACAGGTTTTCTGTCCTTCTCTGTTACGCTCAAATTTAGGAGGTGAAGGACAAAAAACTTCCATCTCTCCCAGAATGCGAACAAATTTATTGGAAAGGCTCACGCGATACTGACTGTTACAGAGAACAATAATTAGTAATTGAAACATCTAAAATCAACCAATTTATACTGATATACCAAAGTAAAAACCTCTTGAAGTTTTTAAGCGTCTTATAATTTTAAAACCTCAAACTTAAACTTATTTTTAGGGGTTTTATGCTATAAGCTACCAACAAAGCAACGGCTTTCAGTTTTTATTTTCCAAACAAGAAAGATGTGATGGGATTTTGCAATATAGGCTCGGGTGCTATAGACTGGATAGAGAACAATTTCAACTAGATTCATGTTGTATCTTTGACTAGGCCATTCTAACGCAAAAATATAATTCTGGCTGTGTATTTAGGGTTTTTCAAGACTTATGCGGCAGCAGCATTTCTTCCAGGATTTTAAAAGCCAAACTCTACCTTTATTTTATTGCTTCAATGTAAAGAATTTCTAATTCCCCAATGAATACTTTCTTTGTCGTTTTAATTTGAATTAATTTAAGTATTTGACGGGTTTTTTCCCCCCATTTTCTCAAATGTAAAATTTGAATTATGACTATATTACCAACTAAACTTTGACGTGATTGTCAGACGTTTTGGATGGAGGCCAAACAAAAAAGATGCGTGATGGAGCTCCAGTGCCCGGGGCTGTTCCCCGGATCGCCCGGCCCGACGCGCCTTTGTTTGTAATTACTGTTTGATTAAGCATGCTGGGCAGCTCCCAGGGTCCGGCTGGCTGGCCACTGATACACAGCTTTTACAGGGAATGTCTGTGACCTCAGTCAATTAGAGTCAGCTCCTTTTTGCTTTAACACTCCGGCCCCCTTCTGCAGAAACAGCCATAACAGCTGCCTCAATAAGCAGCACTTTGTACCCCCGCTTATTCACAAGTGTCCAAACGTCTACTACTCCCGCTTCAGCCACGGCCCGCTCCGCGCTCTCTCTCCACATAAAGACAACACCATAATCTTAAAGCGCTTGTTGAAGCCTTGTTATAGAGTTCTCTAAAGGCCGTGGGGTTTTACAAGGCGGAGGAGGACAGTTATTAGGCCACGAGGAATCGACGAACAGGAAAGAAGGTGGATAGAGGAGGGGGGTGTATTAGATTGGTAGGGCCATTTTATTCCTGGCATGCTTTGTTTAGTGCAAAATTCTTGGTTTCTAGTGAATCTCGGTCCACACCACTTGCCTGGCAATTGACATAACATCTGTGCACAAGATGTTGGGTTTGACTGCGGTAAGGTGGTTGACTCAAAAGGCATGTTGTTGGTTCTTTTTAAAGACCTAAATTAGAATCAGATTGAGGGATCCTGCGCCTGTCAGTCAGCATTTATCTTGACTGACAGGGTTTCTCATGTAGGATGATTTTAATTGGCCTCAAAATGGAGTCAACTGGGAGTTTTGGTTTCCTTTTTTTTTTTTTTTTTTTTTTTTTTTTTTTTTTTTGCCCTAATCTGGAAAGCCACAAAATCTTTCCTCAAAAAAAAACAGCTGCTAAATGGAGGAGAAATGTAAACTTTTTTAAATTTGTAATCTTTTTTTTAAATGTTATTTGTAAACAAAAGAGTAAAGCCCATTCATATGCATATACGTGAACTTTCCTTGCATCCCGCTCGCAGTCCGGGTAACTCATGCATGTAAATATGCG